GGGGGTTAAGTGGAGAGAAAATGTTTTGAGAATGAAGTACAAATGCGCTTTACACAATTGCTGTGTGTATGGATTGCGATAACAGTTGTATCCTAATAAAATGTTTTATAAAAATAGTAAAAAAAAATAAAGAAAAGAATTTGAGCTATGTTCTGCATCCCCCCCACCGCGCCTCCCAAGGTCCATCAGTGGTGGCTCTGATCAGAATGGTTAGTAGTGGAATCTGTGCCCCATCCAGTTCATTTGGCCTCAGGGTGGATAAGGTTGTAGCTCATGTGAGGCTGTGAGCCCTGGAGATGAGTTTCTTCTCTGAGACGACTCACAATATCTTTAGACTGCCCTTCGGGGTCCTCAAGAGCTTCTTGGGGAGCCTGTTCAAGAGGCAGGTGCCCCAAGCCTCCTTTCCCTTCGAGGATGAAGCTCAAGTGTGTCTCCTTGGCACAGCAACTTCTGAAACACGTGCTTGGTGAGAACCACTACTTAAGCAGGCCTCAGTTTATCCTTCCAAACGCATCCCCTAGGCCCAGGGGGACCGATTCTTTGTTCTAGAAAGGCCTAGACAGACAGGAATTATTTTTGGCTTTATGGGCCATACAGGTGGAATGACTTTCTCTCCTTATATAGGACGGGCCTGTGACTCACATCAACTCACACAATGAATAAAACGTAGGAAAGGGGACCCTACGCCAGTGCCAGGTCTTCTGAGAGGACCAGCAGCTTCTGTCTCTTCCCTCTTGGAACATCTAGTTTGGGGAGTTTCCTTTTTTGAGTCAAGAAAATGCTAAAATTAATTGTGGTGCTGTGGTACACAACCTTGTGAATATACTGAAAACAATATATTGCATTACACATTTTAAGTGTGTGAATTGTATGGTATTTGAATTAAACCTAATAAAACTTATATATATGTATTTATGTATATAAATATAAAAGTAATTATTGAGTTCCTACTTTGTTCCAGTCCAGGTACTTGGGATCCATCAGTAAATGAAGCACACCCAAATCCCTCTGCTCACTGGAGGTATTTAAAATAGACCACCAGCAAAATGTACTAGCATTCTCAATCAGAAACACTGTCGAAGGCAGTAGGTCAGGGTGAGGGATCCAGTGGGTTGCTGCTTTAAATGGAGCCGCCAGAATCAGCTCCAAAGAGTTGGCAGTAGGTAGATTTAAAGGTGGTGAGAGAGTCAGCCAGATTTTGGCGGGAGAGCTGTAGGCAGCGAGAAGCGACAAAGCTTTCAGGCTGGTGGTTCGGAGGCCCAAGGAAGGAAGCCATTCTGGCCGGAATGGAGAAAAGGAGGGTGGTGGGCGCTGGGACGAGGGAACTAGCGGGGTCATGGGGGGCTCGCAGACGGTTGTAGAGATGCGGGATGTGACACAACGGGAGGCAGAGCCATTGGACGGTTTGAGAAGAGAAGCCAAGTGATGGGATTTGCATGGTCAGGGATCACTGGTAGAGCAACGGGCTGTCTCAGGACGGGTTAAAGTAGAGACCAGACGGGAGATGAGCCACAGGCGATGATGGTGGCTCAGAGGAAGATGGAAATGGGAGGAGTGGTGAGAACTGGCCGGATTTTACATGTATTTTACAATACAGTTGTATTGGCATATACTTCGCACATCCTACAATTCAGCAGTTCAAGCATATTAGCAAGAGTGGTATGATCATCACCACCATCAGTTCTCTCTGGGACTCATTAGCTCCCCATTTACCACCAACCTCCCCAGCCCCACCCCCAGAAAACCCCAGCTACTGACTCTATAGATTTACCTATCCTGAGTTTGCTATACAGGAAGACATGAGAAACAAAGAAAGAACAATAGAAACAACAATAATAACAAAGTAAAATGGGGGGTGGGCTGGGAAGGAAAGAAAGCAGAAAACATTGAAAAAATTGGAACAAAATTAAAAATGGGTCCCAAGGGAGATCAAATCATAAATGTTAACCTATCTGCAATAATCTATTTTCCGAGATTTTTAGATATCTTTGGAAGGGAGAGCCAGCAGGATTTCCTGACAAATTGATTGTGGGGTGTGATGAGACGGAGAGAGAGAGAGAAATGGAGAAGGACGCGGAGGTTCTATCAAGGAAACCTGAAGGGCAGAATACCACTGACTGCAATAGGAAACACTGTGGGGAGCACGCTTGAGGGGGGAAGGCGAGAGTCGCTTTAGACATATTACGTTTAAGATGGCCAATCCTCTCTCTAATCCAGCAGAAGTGTCCGGAAGGAGGCCACACATCTGAGTCTAAAATTCTGGAGAGAGGTCTGAATGGAGGTCTAAATGTGAGTGTCATGAGCATATAAAAGCTATTTAAAGCGATGAGACTAGATGAGATCATCATATGGAATGAATAAACGTAGAAAAAGGAGAGACTGTACAGGGCTAAACAGGTTGGAGATGGAGGCCAAGGGGAATTTCAGCGGTGGCTTTTTGATATGACTGTGAAAGTGGAATTCACTGCGTGGAGCTGATGCTAACTCTTGGAGACCCCATAGGACTGCTTCTGTGGGTGTCCCGAATGCTAACTCTTTCTGGGAGCAGAAAGCCTCATCTTCCTCCCAGGGAGCTGCTGGTGGTTTTGAACTGCTGACCTTGCAGTTGGCAGCCCAACTTGTAAGCACTACACCACCAGGGCTCCTTGTTAAAATGTAAGAGGTCAGTCCAAGTCATGATGATTGTGAAGTCCCAATGTGTGCTTGTTTTTTGCTCCATGTGACTCTCAGGCCATAAAAACTTCACTTTGGAAAGGCGCAGTGGCGCTAATATGGATAGCTTCAACCACGCAATGGAAGACCGACTTGCAGGAACTTGTTCTCAGCCACTGGGGAGTCTTTTTCCACCTAGGCATTGCTTGCTTCAACCTGCTCTTTACGATAGTTATTCGAGCCAGAACAAGCTTAAAAGGGCTCTTCATTACCTCCCAGGCAAACCACCAGGTCCTTGTTTCAGGTCTCAAGCCATCAAGGAGAACAAGGGGTACCCTCCTGCATGAGCCCTGGCGCCTTTTACAGCTCACAACTTTTCCTGTGGTTCATCCCACGGATGTGCTTTGCACCCTCCCCTTCACTCTGCTACGAGAGTGCAAAGTGGTCAGAAAAGCCTTTGTAGCCCCATCACATATCCTTCGAGATTCACGTTTCTCATAAACCTTTGCTGGACAAGTTCCTGTTCAAGAGTGTGGCGTATAGTCACACAAATGCCTCCCACGAAGAAGACAGGGATGAGAACTGAGCAAAAAGTTCAAAGCCACCTCCCAGCAGCGATCAACAGTCCACAGCATGTGCCTCTGTCACGTCTCAGATCCTGCAAGTGGGCGCCGACGTGCTGTGCTGTCCCTGGAGATGTCACATCCCCGGGGTGGAGGGGGAGTGTCCCATGCACGCTGCTCTTTCCTTTGTCCCTCCACAGGACAGCCCGTGTAGACACCCTGTGGTAACCGTCTTCATTCACTTGAAAAACAGCATGTGGACAAGGTTCTGGAGAGTCCCCTTCTGACCAGGCACAGGGGACACGGAGAACAGCCACGGAGAAAAGCCAGCCCAGACCCCACGCAGTCTCTCCGGGGTCTCAGGCAGCTACAGACACATGGTAGCACATCACCATGCGTGTACATCAGGCCCCCATCCTTCGTTTCTTCCGGGTCATAGCATCAGTGAGGGGAGCTCCTTCTAAGATGTGTTGAAAGTTTACGTTAACACGCTGTAACCAATATCCCTAAAGTGGTCCCCAAAGTTCAGCTCATATGTTATACATGCGCAGTCTCCAATTTTGTAAAATAAAAATCCTGCCTTTGTGTGTTGTCAAAGAACCCGTGTTCATAACCTACCTGCTGTTTGTTCTCTTTGGAATACGGCAACATGGTGGACACATGAAACATGATCTCATGCCCTTGGTACATAGTATAAACAGAATGCATCCCTGTGGTATCGTCTGTAAAACACAAACATGCATTTAGTGGGCACAGAGGCCATAAGGAAACGGTCCTTATTTGTGGACGGGGCGAACATAGCACACCATTAATACAACCCCAAGGATCGCTGTGGACCCTGCACCTGATTGGAAGCGACTATAATCTAAGAGTCAACTCCCGATGGGTGCACGGCTCCTACACACACACACACACATGCTTTACCTCAGTGCAAGGAGGTTACAAGACAGTCAGCTTCCTGGGCGAGTGTTTTACAATTCCTTGTGTTCAACTACTGTCAGAAGTGCTACTATTGGCAGAATCGTCATGATTGACAGCCTGGGCTCGGGGGTTAGACAAACTGGGGTTCAGGTTCTCATTAGCTATGTTAATTTTCACAAAGTACCCTGCTCTTTTCTGAGCTTCACTTTCTTCATCTGAAAATGGGGATAAAACATTACCGAACTTGGAGGGACGGTGGGAGCACTCAGAGGGACGGTGGGAGGACTCAACAAGATGATACTTTAGGACGTGCAGCAGAATGCCTGGCCAAAGAGAGGGCTCAATAAATCCAGCAGCCCAGAGGCTCAGTGTTGACCATGGGGATGGTGAATTGACCACGTGCACAAAGAATTTAGAGGCACGAAGCGGGGGCATGATAACTGGAGCCAAAGACGCCACTACCGTGTCTGTGTGTTGAGTTACTCACAGTACTATTCTCACACAGGGCTTAACCAACCTCTCCGTCTCCACAATCCGTGAAATGATGCCTAGGTGGGCTGGTGGAAAATGAGGCTCCCAAAGGACAAGGAGACCTGGACACGAAGCTTATCAAATTCAGGCCAAATCATCATCATATCACCTGCCCAACGTACCTCAGGACTTACTGCGAGGATCGCATAAAACAACCCAAGTAAAAGCTCATGAGAACGCGACAAATGCGTCTCAAATCTAAAACAGCAGACGCGATTACAAATCTAAATTTGTGATCTGACCTGCCTACCCTCCTTCCCAGAGCGGTCCTCCCAAACTGCTCAGGCCAGAACCCCAGGGGCCAGCTGGGGTTTCTTTTCGACTCTTTACCGGCCACGCTCAACTAGCGGTAGACTCCTGCCAACCCTACCTGCACAACAATTCCTGAAGCAGTTTATGCCTCTCCTTTCCAACTCCCATCTCCTCCCCAGCCAAGGCCAGGGTCATTGTTGGTGTGGACTGCATCAGAGCCTGTGGACTGGCCCCTCCTATGTTCTAGTCCGTTCTCCACACTGCAGGCAGTGAGTTCTGCTCAAAGGTGTAACTGGCATCCTCTAACTCCACTACTTAAACCTTTTAATAGCATCCCAGTAACTTGAGGATAACATTTCATCCACTCTTAATGTAATCTCCAACTCCCTACATGACAACCCCCTCTTCTTCCCGTTCACATTGCATCTTGATGGTTCCTCTGCTGCGTTCAGCCACAGAGGCAGACAGACATGTATCTCGTAGTCTCTTAAAACAGCATGCTCTTTCCTGCCTAGGGAATCACAAATACGCTCTGTGCTCGGAAGAGCCTTCTCCCCTTAGGATGCTCACATTACTCCTATTCACTACTCCCTCGGGACGCAAACATCGCCACCTCGGGGAAACCTTCCCTCGGCCCCAGATGAGGCAAAATTCCCTGTGGCACTCTATACTGTGAGTACCTCTCAGTACTCTGTCCTCAGTGATTTGAGAATTACCCACTTCTATTTGTGGTGTTCACTAGACTGAGCACCGAGAAAGGCAGGGCTCCTGCTGGCTTCTCCACCGCCACATCTCTGGAGACTGGCACAGTCCTGGTACACAGGAGATGCTCCATCACAAGGACGGATGGACAAACTACCACTGCTGCCACCATCAGGGGCTGCGAGGGCTGGGTCGGTTTCACAAAGCTCCACAGAACCACCAATGTGTCCAGTGAGCCCAGGCCAGACTGGGCGTCAAGATCAATTTCTCTCCAGCCCCTTTCCCATCTTGAATGTAAACTCAAATAACGATCAGGTTGATTGAAAAAGTCACACAAAAACAGTAGCTCAAGAGGCAAGCTTACTTCTGGTGTCCAGACCGCCACGGTAGCCTGTCCAGCCCTTTAGAGTGATCGTGTCACCCAGAAGATTTAAAAATTTTTGAAAAGCTTCACTTCCAATTTCTGTAAGAAAAGACAAAGTATGAGGAAAGTCTGGCTAACAATGAGCCTTGATTTTCTTTTTCTTTTTTAATCATTTTATTGGGGGCTCGTACAACTCATCACAATCCATACATCCATCCATTGTGTCAAGCACATTTGTACATTTGTTGCCATCATTCTCAAAACACTTGCTTTCTACTTGAGCCCTTGGTATTAGCTCCTCATTTCCCCCCCTCCCTACCCGCTCCCCCTCCCTCATGAAACCTTGATAATTTATAAATTATTATTTTGTCATATCTTATACTGTCCAACGTCTCCCTTTACCCACTTTTCTCTTGTCCATCCCCAAGGAAGGAGGTTATATGTAGATCCTTGTAATCGGTTCCCCCTTTCTACCCCACCCTTCCATTATTGCCACTCTCAGCACTGGTCCTGAAGGGATCATCTGTCCTGGATTCCCTGTGTTTCCAGTTACTGTCTGTACCAGTGTACATCCCTTTGGTCTAGCCAGATTTGTAAGGTAGCACTGGGATCATGATAGTGGGGGTGGGGGGGGGTGGGAAACAGGACGCAAGCATTTAGGAACTAGAGGGAAGTTGTATGTTTCATCGTTGCTACACTGCACCCTGACTGGCTCACTTCCTACCCGCAACTCTTTGGTAAGGGGATGTCTAGTTGCCTACAGATGGGTCTTGGGTCCCCAATCTGCACTCCCCCTCATTCATAATGATTTTAATTTTTGTTCTTTGATGCTTGATCCCTGATCCCTTCAACACCTTGTGATCACACAGGCTGGTGTGCTTCTTCCATGTGGACGTCGTTGCTTCTGAGCTAGATGGCTGCTTGTTTACTTTCAAGCCTTTAAGACCCCAGATGCTATGTCTTTTGATAGCCGGGCACCATCAGCTTTCTTCACCACATTTGCTTATGCACCCGCTTTGTCTTCAGCGATCGCACCGGGAAGGTGAGCATCATGGAATGCCAGGTTATTAGAACAAAGTGTTCTTGCGTTGAGGGAGTACCTGAGTGGAGGCCTTCATTCTCTACAAGTGCATTGAAATTACTTGAAAACACAGTGGGGCTCAGCAGATGTGTGCTGTAGGTAAACAAGTCTATTCTCTTTGTGGGGGGGGGGGGCTGGAGATTATGCAGAATGTTTCTGAAATTCCATCCCAGGACCCCAGAGGGAGGAAACCACAGCACCAGGTTAACCAACCTTACCACTGCCAGACTGGGATGACAGACTCGGTGTGTCTTTGATTTGCTTCAACTTCTCTTTGAGAGACTAATAGTGGCCCTTTAAATGGCCACTCTCAAGCTCTCAGACACCCGTTGCTCACCGTAGTAGGATGTAGCGCATTGTTACGCCGATTGACCTTGGTGTCCCCCAAGACATAGTCTTGAGTCTCCAGGACTGGGAACTCATTCAAGGTACTTATTTATGTCTGAATTTTTCATAACCCCGCCCACCTGCTAAATGCTCCACCACTTACATGGATACATATTACATGGATACATGGATGCACACAAAGGAACACTGGGTGACACGTGTAGGTAAGCACACACACAGAGAAATATCCTCTGTCCACCTTTATGTGCCTTTTCACAAGGATAGCCGTGCTCGGCTCTCCCTCCCACATTTATCCAGCTGTCGAGTCTAGCCGCACACCCACATGGCCATCACCGTTGTTGCAGGATTGTGAATTTAACAGGAATCTCCCCGTTGCCTTTAACTCTTACATTCCTATTTTACTGCCTCCATATTTTGCCGCCTTCCCTCTTGTTATACATTTCCCTCCTTTACACTCAAGTTAAGATGTGCCCACCCTCCAGTTAGTAAGTCACCCTCCCTTTCCCACCAGCTCAGCGAAGAATGTTTGTTTTAGTGAGAAAAGCTTTTTCTTGCCTTTTTGTAATCGTGGTCGCCCAGGGTATTTGTCCTTTTGTGATTGACTTATTCCACTCACCCTAGAGCCCTGTGGGTGACATGTCAGACCGCGAACTGCCAGTTCAGCAGTTCAAAAAACCAGCTACTCCTCGGGAGAAAGATGAGGTTTTCTTCTTCCGGAAAGATTTACAGTCTTGGACACCCACAGGGGCACTTCTTCTCCCTGTCTTCTAGCTCATTATGAGTCAGAATGGACTCAGTGACAGTGCGTTTTGAGTTTCATGTCTGCCAGATTCCTTCGTGTTCTGACATGTCACCCAGTGTTCCTTTGTGTGCATGCACCATGCTTGGTCATTCGTTCTACTGCTGATGGGCATGCACGTGGTTTCCATCTTTGCGCTATTGTGACGAGTCCTGTGATGAACATGGCTGTGCACGTATGTGGTCATGTCACCGTTCTCCGTCCTCTAGGATGGACACTATGTGGTGAGATTTCTGGACCCTACGGTATTGCTATTTCCAACTTTTTAAGGAAGCACGATCCCATTTTCTACAGGGGTTGCACCATATTCCAATCCCACCAGCAGTGCATGAGGGTTCCAGTCTCTTAACATCTTTGCCAGTGTCTTGTTGAACCTTGCTATGGATGCTGGAGGAACCCTGGTGGTGCTGAGGGTTAGGACTTTGGCCGAGTGGGAGAAAGGTGAGGCTGTTTGCTTCTGCAAAGATTTACAGGTCCCCAAACACTATAAAGGGTTGCTATGAGTTGGAACCGAGTTGGTGCGGTAGGTTTGGTATTGATGCTAGGGCGAGATAAGCTCATTGTAGTTGTGATTTCTATCTCTCTAATGGCTAAAAAGGAGCTGACACAGAGAGAGAACACCCTTTCCTAGCGTTGGTTCCCTGAGTTCAGACTTCTCACTTCAATGGGGAGACCCTCAGCACTCTCTACTCAAGACACGCGCCTGGGCACCTGCTCAAAGCTTGAAATCAGAAGCTTGAAACAAGTAAGTGTGTCCCCATGTTCACTGAAGTACTGTTTCCAGTCCCCCAGAGTGAAAAGACCAACACATGAGAGGCTAAACGACAGGATATTATATGCATGTGCACATACACAAATGTTAACTACATGTACATATGTGTATATGGGTACACACAGGCACTAGAATAGAGCACCTTTTAGACATAGAGCTTTAGATGCATGTTATGACGTGGATGAACCCTGAAAACATTAGGCCGCCTGAAATAAGTCAGACACAAAAGGAACCACATGGCATGGTCTCACCTATATGAGGTGTCTAAATAGGACCATGTTTACTCGTGGTTACCAGGAGCTGAGGGTGATACTGTCAGGTTAGCGTTGTACTGCTAACTGCAAGGTTGGTAGTTCAAGTCCACTGGGCATTCTGCAGGAGAAAGATGAGGTGGTCAGCTCCTATAAAGATATGGGTGCCAAATCCCTACATAGGGTCGCTATGAGGTAGAATCAATCTGATGGCAGTGGGTTTGGTTTGGGGGTTCAGGGGCTGACGAGAGGAGGGAATGGAAGCTAATGCTGGCAGGGTACTGACATTCTATCTGAGATACAGTTTTGAAAATGGATAGTGTTGATGGCAGCATCACACTGTGACTGTGATGGATAACGCTGAGCTGTACACTTACGCATAGTTATGATGGCAACCAGTTTGATATATATATTTATTATGTAATATATACTCATTACATAGCAAATGCATCAAAAGGCAGAGCCGAGCTTCTTTACATTGGGAGAGGACGAGCTGACTCACCATTGCTGAACATTTCGTCATCGGTGAGCTGTCCATCTTTGGCAAAAAGAACCCCAAACTTGAAATTCACAGAGCCCTTATGTTAAGATAAAGAAAGCGGTTAAAATGAATTTTATCACCACAGCCCAAGCAGTTAGTTATGAGATGATTTAATTATTCCCATGCAGCATTTAGGAAGATAAAACTTCAGGCACCAGAAAGGGTTGTTGGCCAGATTCCTGCCTCCCTCCATCTCAATTTGAACCTGTGTTAACATGACCACTCCTCTATCCTTGATTTTTTATACAACTTACAGCTGAAGCTATACATATTTATGAGTTCATTCACTTGCACTTTCCCCCCACTAATGGCATCTGCAGGGTGCAGGTTCATTCTGGGGCAAAACACTGCTCCAAAGAAATGGTCCTCGGGAAGTCAGGACCAGCATCATCTCTGACTCCACTCCTCATCACCAGTCCAAACCCAGTCAGTTACAGAGAGCTAATTGTCATTCAAAGCGTCACACAACAATTTCATGCTGATATCTTGTGGATTCTTTTAGAACTAGAAATGAAAATTATAGGCAATTTGTACTAAGAACTCCTTTCCCCCAATGCCTAGACATACATTCTCAAAAAGTCAAAACAGATGTGCAAAGGGGTGGGGGGAGGCAATCTAAAAGTAGCTAGTACAAATGTTCAGTCTCCTGCCCTCCGCTGGAAACACTGGATTAAAATCTGATCCTGTGGGAATGCTAAACACCGCATGCAGGATAGGAGATACTACAGAGAAGGGTGGAAGAAAAAGAAATGGGATCGGGGAGTTGCCCAGAGGGTTTTAGTTTTAATGCCCACCCTCCACCAACTGGGAAGCGAGTTCATATATTTTCAATGCCTTTTTGCATGCCGGAAGTATTTAAAATCATCATCATCATCTTCCAGAAAACAAAATGTGGTGTTGGAAAGGAATTAACCTTAGCCAAGTTGTTGGACCACCACCACGCAAGGGAATATGTGCTGATCCGTGAAGGGGTGGACAAGGAACTAAGAGATATAAAGAAAGCACTGGGCAATGGGTCAGAAGTGGCATGCCGGGACAGAATTCTAGAATTCACGGCAGCTGAATCTGGGAGAATTAAACTACAAAAATCTAAAGGCTAAAGACTGTAGACTAAACATTGACTGCCCTCAAGAGGCCAAGAGTCAGATGCACCTTCATCATTAACAGCAGTTTCATTACAGTGGTTTCCGATCCCAAGTGAGGTATGAAAGGACCCTGCCAACTGGATCCTTCCACCTGGAACTCTGCAGCTCTGAGTACAACCTTCTCTTTCCTATCATGTGGGTCTCAGCTCAACTGTCGATTCTCCGAGAGGCCTTTCCGGATCTTCTCAAGATAGTTGCCGGCCCCTTTAATTGGTAGTGCCTTGTCAGTTTCCTTCATAACACTATTCACACGCTGTGATTCATTCATTGAACATACGTAGGTGTGTTTCTAACAATAGAACGTAAGTCCTATGAAGGAGAGCTCACACACGTCTAACCATTGAGCATCCCCTTCACCCACCCCCAAGTACCAACCATGGCACTGGGCATATTAGGACGATGAACAAACATCCATGCATACATGACGGTGTGCATAATGAGAAAAGAACCAAAACTGGTCAGATAGAATTGTTTTTCACAAGTCTATGTTGCATCTGAACGATCACCTCTTTTTCACAAAACAGTATTTGGTAAAGTTCTTAGAATTATAGTAGAGATTTTTTTTACCTACTTTAGGGTTCTATAGTTAGTCATTTTTACATCTCTAGTTTGGACATGATGACAGTAATGTCTTCAAGATTTTGGTGTGTCTTCCCTTCTCAGGGGTCCCTTAAAAACTGACAACAGTTTGGGTTATTGACAGACGGCCCTCTTAGAACAACAGTGCATGTGTTAAAGTAGTGGTTCTTGAACTTGACCATCGGAATCACCTGCAGGGCTTGTTCAATACAGATTCCTAGGTTTGATGATTCAACTGAAACGAGAGAATGTGCAAGTCCAACAAGTTCTCGGGTGCTGCTGACGGTGGTTCAAGGCTGCCCCAGTGGGAACCCCTGGACTTGGGGAATAGACAAGGAGGTTGTCCAAGGCCCAGGATCCGATCCAGTGATGAGTCCAGAACAGAATGTTAGCACTTGAAGGTAAGTCCCGGGCCAGTGAGTCCTTTCATTCCACAGATAGGACATCTGGGCCCAGGGAAGGAGAGAGATTTACAGGAACTGTAGGACTGGAGCTGGCTCTCAGGTCCTGTGACATTTGAGCTAGGGCCCGTTCCAATACCATGCCATATTCTTCTCAAGGCCGTCCTGAGTTTAATGAAAGCCGAAAGCCAGAAGCAGATTGGAGCCCCCTGCTGCCTGCTCGCTGGCCAGACCTAAAAGTTTTATGCATTTGCTCTGAGGTTGGTTGTGAATCCTCCTGCTTCAGGTGTCACCTCCAGAAAGATTGTGCTGCATGGCCTTCAGCGTCCGTCATGAGTTGTCAGGATCCTGCCGAAGAACTACTAAGTCCCCGAGCCATGGAGCGTTTCAGAAAGGAGTCGTTCAGGTACTGTGGACCCACAGGGGTCAGTTCTGCTAAGGTCACTACCAAGTAGGGAGATTGTGTGTCCAGGTTTGCCAGGATCGTCCTGGCTGAATCTGTTTCATTTGTGGTCCTCGTGTAATTAATGATCACTGTCAAAAGTGTCTTGGCTTAAATGACAGCTTATATGGAAGCCCCTCCTGCTTCCGGTGTCCACTCCAGAAAGACTGGTGCTGCAAGGGCTGTTAAGGACCCGAAACTCCTGAGAAGGCTTAATACGGCTATAAACAAGATTGAAATCAGATTCCGCTCTGATGGCGGGCTTACATTTTAGAGAGGGGTAAAACAGGAATCAAACTAACAAGTGGATAAAATATTTTAGACAGAGTGTCCAGGAAAAGACTTTCTTCTGAGCAGTATTCTAATCTAGTGAGGGTGTGAGCTAGGAGGCCATCTAGGGGAACAGGAGGCTCCCGAGGAGAAGAAGGAAAAGCAAAGAAGCGAATATGGTTAGAACAGCAAGCCAAGAGGCAACAGAAGTCAGGTCAGGCAGGTCCTTACAGGCCATCATAAAAATTCTGGGATAAAATTTTTTTTTTTTTTTTAAATTCTGGGCTTTGTATGGAAGGGGAAGCTACTAGGCAGTTTTGAGCATGGGAATGACCTGATGGGTCATGTGTGAAAACATCCATTTAGATACTATATGAGAAACAGAATAAAGGGCAAGAGTTCGGGAGACATCGCAGAGTCTAGGCAAGCGATGGGGTGGGGGGAGGGTGCAGTATCATAAGACTAGAGTGGTCCTGGTAGAAGCATCGAGAAAGATTGGACTCTGGATTTACGTTTGAAGAGGAGCCAGCACAATGGACTGACGGCTTAGATTGGGGGTGTGAAAAAAGAAATTAAGGATTTCCCTAAGTTGAGTCTAAGCAACTGAGAGACTAATACTGTGATTAGACTAATACTAATACTAATATTGTGAAAGGCATGATATGTATACACTAAATTTATTTAATCAATGGACTAGTGATGACTTTTGGATATTTTCTTATATTAGTTATGTACTCAGAAAGTGAAATGCATTAAAAAAAACGGGAGTCAATAGGCAATAGAAACATGCAAATAGAGATGGTATCTTGTGCATCAAGAGATTAAAGTGCTAATAAATATGTTAGGCGAAAATGATCTATCTTTCATTTAATGAAAATTCAAACTGCATTACTCACAGGGTTAAATTTTGTGTGTTTTTGAGAAGATTTCAGTTATTTGCTTGTTTTAAAAATATCTGTACAGCTAGCCGCATAAAAATTCTGAAATGTACCTTTAACGACAAGTCAGTGGAGTCTCAGTGATAATGGATTCAGAGTTCAAATCCAGGTGGTAGTTTGGCTAAAACAAGGGGCAAAGCTCTTGGGGAAATCGTTGGGGGTGGGTAGGGGAGGGCAGGGCGGCATTTACACTGAGGCGGACCCAGGCAGGAACAAGTATCTCCCTATAATTACTCACCTCCTGTTCTTCAAGAACCAGCAAATCCTGTTAAATAGAGTTTTAAAAGTTTACATGCATGCTTAAAGGCGGTCTTTGAAAAAATTGTGGTAAAATTACACATACCTAAACATGCGTCAACAAAAATAATACTTCCATGTGACTTTCTTTGGTTTACCCACTTTTATGTTAAGACGTTTTGAAATTGGTAATGAAAAGTTGATTACGAACCTTTCTTCAGAAAGAAAACGCAGACCAAAGCCAGGGAAGTCTTACGTTTCTTCCCCCTGTAACCTGCCCGCCATGTGGTTTCCGGTTCTAGGATGACATATTCAGAAGTGGTTGCCCTGCAGTCTGTACTGCGTTGCCCATCATGCTCCACGTCACATGCCTCAGGGTTTGGAAATGTTCGTGTTCCCGAGAGACTGAGCTAAGTTCTCTGTTTGGCTTGTTTCCCGGTTTATAACTGTAGCCTAGCAGGCAGACTTTCAGTTGGTACTGGTGTTTCTTAGCCCATTCACATAGCATTGTTTTTGACGCATGCACCACCCTAATCTTTCATCTGGGGGCTGGCACTGATTTCCGGCCCTCCATATTGGAGTAAATGGGGCTTGGAAGAGGCTTCAACATGCTACCCTTTCCCCGCTCCTGAAAGCACTTTACAAGTTCAGATTGAGCGCTATCGGTTTTCACAAAGAGCCTGGTCATTTAGGAGAGTCGTACTTTACCACAACCATCGGGAGAGAAAGTTGATGGATTGTAGGGAGAGAAACAGACGCTCACACTCGGGTTTCTCTATCCTTTTAAAATGAGTTGACCATGTTGGTGGTGCTGAGGTGTAAGTCCCAGGCTGCTCGCTCTCTGCAAGGTCAGTGGCTCGGACTTGCCGGTCACTCCCCGGGGGAATCCTGAGGCTGGCAGCACCAGGAAAGCGCTATTGTC